TATTCATATTTACGATAGTTGCTTAAACTTATGAGAAGGAGACTAGGCAGATAGCTAGACTTTAATATGTAGAAATAGGTATTAGGATGAATGAATGATTATTTGACTAGTCATGTATCATTGTATCGCTACTTCGTTAGTTTTCGTTGCATATGTTTTTTGCCCAGTTATATTCATATATTCATATTTACGATAGTTGCTTAAACTTATGAGAAGGAGACTAGGCAGATAGCTAGACTTTAATATGTGGAAATAGGTATTAGGATGAATTAATGATTATTTGACTAGTCATGTAGCATTGTATCGCTACTTTGTTAGTTTTCGTTGAATAGCTTTTTGCCAAGTTATATTCATATACTTGTACCAGAGAACGGGTCGTCTGCCCTTAAGATACAAGCATGAGTCACAAGTTTGCCTATATCTCCTCCTCCCCTAGTTTCCCTCGTAATGCATATAGATAGGCGCTAAGGACTTCTAGCTGTACATTTATTGGTTGGCACGTGGGGAGGCGACAACGCGATTGTAGATGGGAATGACTGTTTTATAGAAGTGGTTGAAAGCTAATCGCAAAAGTGGATAAACGACTAGCAAAATGAGTGGATGCATACGTGTGGAGTAGAAAGGTTTGATTGAAATAGAGTTTGGCAAGCACACAGCTCAGTGATTGATGAAGATATACACAACACAGCATAGATGGGAGCAGCTGAGCGCTGGGCCGGGATTATGAATATTTCAGGCTCTATAGCCCCTTACCTGTGCCCATTTGTTCTACATGATGGCTGACGCGAATAACTTCACCTTGTACAGAGTTGGGTACATTCTGCCAGACCTGGCTTGCCTCATTCATAATGCAACAGGAAGACGGCTCTGCTGCTGCAGTACGAGGGCTGAATCTTATCATTTTTGCTTCTATTCTTCATTCGTATGCTTCTTCCGCCTTGCTGTAGACAACCCCTTTGCTCACGCGACGGCCATCAAAATTACGTTGCCCAATTTTAGACTTTTGCCCTGCACCTCTTCCACCCTTTCCAGCGTACGCGATAGGCACCAACTTACCGTTTTATGCCGAGTGAGTCTGTCAGCGTTTACTACTTTTACTGCGAGTCTGCTATGCCGGTGCTCTTTTGCAGAGTCGGGCCGATCTGTAGACGCGATAAACTAATATAGAACTTTTCATAAATGACTTGTGTGCGTCCGAGCTAACCTCGGTGTTATAAAAAAAAGATATAATTGTTTCAAAATTTTTCGAAAATACAATCACAACTGGTAGTTCCCGAGCCTTCTATCAGCATTTCAGAATCACCAATCACCAAAAGTTGTCCTGGACACCAAATTGTATTGGTGGTGCTACTGCTTTCGAAGCCCACATTTCAATCTTGATTTACGAAAGAACTTTGACATGGTCATTGAGGTTTAAAGGACTGCCTATTTCATGCTCTCTTGATTGGACAGGATAGTCGTTTGTGGTAAGACTACCGCCACAAACTTGCCAACAACAAGCTTCTGGATGATTTAAACATTGATACAGCAATTTGTATACCACGGTGACCAGGTGGCATCGCTTACAGGACAGAAAACCGAGTATCTGCTATTACAATCAATGACATTACTTACATTCCGTTGAAGTATGTCTTGATTTTGTGAATAACAACTTTAGTTACTCGGAATGAGAAAAGCTTTTGGTGAACAAGGCTAATGGAATTTCATTGGCAACCTGGGGTTGTCAAGTTGTTTGAAGAAAGTTTTCACTACCACTCTTCAAATGTCCTAAAGTTAACTGAGCTAACCAAACGGATACGAAGATCAAGATGCTATGGAATCATGTTGGCTCTCGGTCTCCTTTCACTGCACACAAGTGGTTTCACCTCGTTTTCTTCGACTTGGAATTGTTGCCAAGGCGACCTAATGGAGTCATTTGCTATATTTGTTGAGCTTACTTCCATTTCGAGTCAAAGTGTCGGGTGAAGAGATTTGAAGTTCGGTTCCACCAGAAGACGAAGGCCGATTTCTCTTCACCAGCTGATGCTGTTTCCGAGGCAATCTCCTTCGATTCCGGTGAAAAGGTGCTAAGCTTTCGTCCGTCAAATGATGGACATCATCAGAGCTTACATAAGCGAACACAATCAGGCACATACAACCACAGAGACAGACACACTCACATGCATCGAAGTTGACATATGACCGTAACTAACCAAATCACTTTATACT